GGATCTGAGGGCATTTTTGCCCAGTGCCCAGTCTTGGCAGTGAAAGGAGGTTGTAGCCAGGTGGGATTGGTCTGTTCTCCCAAGTAACGATCACTAGGACAAGAGGAAGCAGCCCCAAGTTGTGCCAGGGAATATTTAGATTGGATTTGGGGCAAAATTTCTTCAGCAAAAGGGTTGTCCAGGCCTGGCACAGCTGCCCAGGGCAGTGGTGGAGTCACCGTCCCTGGAGGGATTTACATGACGTGTGGTTGTGGTGCCTGGGGACATGGGATAGTGGTGGCCTTGGCAGTGCTGGGTTAACAGTCAGATCTGATGATCTTGGACATCCTTTCCAACCTATGATTTTATGATTCTGGGGGAGGCACAACTTCCTGGAAGGGAACTGCAGGCAGTGCTGGACAGTGGGCTGGGAACAGCTTGTCCGGCTGCAGCGAGCGACGCTGCGGCTTTGGCACCGCGCCTGTTTGCTTCCAAACTTTCTGTATTTTAGTTGTGATAGGGGTTTTGCAGAGGAAAGCCAAGGAAAAGTACCTCTGTGATTAGGGAAGTACCTTGAGGAGGCAGCTGAGCCCAGGCTGCCTCCCTGCCTGTGCGGGTGCTCTGCCTCTGGTCGTGGAAGGGCTTGGAAGGGCTTGTCCGTGTGGCACTTCTCCAGCTGTCAGCACGTGCCTGGAGCAGTTGGTGGCTTTTCCAGGTGCCCACCAGCACACCTCCAAACTGGGTGTGCTGGGGGCTCAATCCCTTTCCTGGGGTCATCCCTGCTCCCTCCTGCAGCCGGGAAGGGGGGCTGCCCTTCCCCTCCCCTCTCACACGCGTTTGTGAGCAGGATGTGTGCACCTTCCTCTCCCTTTCCCCTTCCTCTTGCTCGTTCCTTCTCCCCCTCTTTACTTTCTTTTTTCATCTCCTTCCATCTGTCCTTCTCACATCAGGCTATTTTGGGCTGAGTTTCTCACTGTCAATATGGTAGGAACCGTGGTGCAGCTCATGTCTTTAGAGCATGAGCAGCACTTCAGGAAGCCTTCCCAAGCACTTACCTTGCTTGGCTCATCTTAACCCCCCCTGCCTTGACCTCATCTTGAAGGCATTTTGAGATCAGGGTGAAAAGGCATTAAATCCTTCCCATGGCCAGAGGAGAAAGCCATCAGATTTAATACCTTTTTGCCCTGGTCTCCAAACACCTCTGAGCCTTGCAAGTGGTGATTAAGCAGCCTGAAGCCAAGTGTGGTGTTGGCAGGTCATTACTTGTGTCTTTTTAACTCTCAGAGGCTTTAAGTCAAGGCATGATTTTGTTTTTTGAGTTTTTTTTTTTTGTTTGGAAATGATGGCTGTAAATTGAATAGGAAATGCAGAACCAGAGGTGAATTTTTAATACTCTTCGTTTACCAAAAATCCAGGAGACAGCAGGGAAGGCGCAGGGCTGGCAGGGAGTTTGCTGGGAGGGAGCAGGGCTCTCTGTTAGCTGGGCTGAGCTGCTGCTGTGCTTTGCTGCTCTCTCCATCTGAGCATCCTCGAGCACTTGAAAGGCAGGGACAGTTTTTAGCCTCAAATTATCTGCATGAGGCAGATGAGCCAAATGCCACCTGGATCCCGCAGTGCCCTGGCAGGGCTGGGAGCAGAGCTGGGGCTTGGCATGGCTGCCTTCCTACCCTGGAGAGAAGGGGGCTGGTTCTGCTACCCAAATTCTTGGGGTGCTGGAGCCCAGGGGTGCTGCTCACATCCCTGCCCAGCTCAGGGGAGCAGAACCGCTTTGCTGGGGTGTGCTGGAGCCGGAGCTGAGGAGGCAGATGAGGTGGAAGGTGGCTGCTCAGCTGAGGAGCTGCCTCCAGCATGGGTGGGCAGGTGATTGCTCTCTTTTACATAAGCAAGGTTTATTATGGCTTTTGTTCTAATAATAAATGTGCCTTTGTCTCTTCACCTTCTAATAAAACCTTTCTTTTTTGTAAGGGGCTGCAGCTTGAAAGGTGGGGGCAGACATGTCTCTGGAGCAGCCAAGTTCCTTCCCTCTCTGCTCCTCTCCTTTCTCCCATCCTTTCCTGCTCTGCCCTTTTCTCTGGGAGGTGCTGCTTGTGCCAGCCAGGAGCTTGGCATTGTGATTTAATGCTTAGCAACACCAGGGCAAGGGGCCTCAGCTTTCCCTGTCTGGGTATGGCATTTGTCTCCCAGGCCCCGGACTCCAGGAGGGAGCGAAGGTCAGGCTCACAGCCTGTGCCATGGTTATTTTCCACGGTAGGAATGAGATGAGTTGAGGTTTGTCTGCACAGGGATACCCAGGGAGGCAGGTCTGGATGAAATAAAAAGGTGAATTTGAAGCAGATTATCTAAAACACATTAAAAGCCAGTGCAACCTTTCTGACGCCGTTAAATGGTTTTAGTTCTGTCTGTTGTAAATCACGGATAATAAGTTTTGGGATCTGGAAAACAGCTGTTTTCCAGATGAGATTTGGAATGATTTTTAGTTTTCTTAGAAAAATTTCCGTATTTTCTCAGCGATTGGACTGTTTATGAGAATTTGGGTGCCTGGTGGGAAGGAGGAGTCTGAGGAAGGTGTCCTGGGAATCCTGCTGGCTCATCCCAGTGCTCTGGAACCCACAGTGGTGCCAGACCTGCAGGGTCTGCAGGACCCCATCGGGCTGTGTGATTAAATGTGCTTCTGCTGTTTGGTTTTCAGGAGTGTTGTTGTGCACTGGGGAGCTGCAGCTGGAATGAGCCCCTTCCCGGCTGCCAGCTGGCACTAGATTAGGAGAAAACCAAATCATCCGCTGATTCTTTCCCCATAAACATCTCTGTGAGGCATAAAAGGCTACTGTTCAAAACCAAACACAAGTGGAGGGGCTTGAGCAGCCCCTGCTGCTAACGTGGGATAATCCAATTTGGCAGGAGGGAGGCTGAGCTGGCGAGCTCCTTCCCGCGGGCTGTGCCTGCCTCTGGTCTGCAGCTGGAGAAAATCTGGGATGGTTGTCACCAATAAATGCCAGGACTGCTCCGAGGGACAGCACAGCTGATAGACCCACCCCAGGGCTTGTTCTTGCTGTGAGAGACAGCACGAGGGACCACTTGGTGTGAACTCACTGCTCCAGGAGGGTCACACAAGAAAGCTGGAGATGAGCAGGGAAGAGGGGTGGGAGGCAGGTGGGAGAGGGGCAGGAGCTGGGGGTGTTCAGCCAGAGAAGAGAAGCCTCTGGAGAGACCTTCAGTACCTAAAGGGGCTCTAAGAGAGCTGGAGAGGGACCTTGGATAAGGGCCTGGAGTGACAGGACAAGGGGGAATGGCTTCTCACTGCCAGAGGGCAGGGTTAGATGGGATANGACAAGAGGGAATGGCTTCTCACTGCCAGAGGGCAGGGTTAGATGGGATACTGGGGAGAAATTCTTCCCTGGGAGGGAGGTGAGGCCCTGGCACAGGTTGCCCAGAGAAGCTGTGGTTGCCCCATCCCTGGAAGTGTTCCAGGCTGGGTTGGACAGGGCTTGGAGGAACCTGGTCTAGTGGAAGGTGTCCCTGCCCATGGCAGGGGGTGGAATGAGATGAGCTTTAAGGTCTCTTCCAACCCAAACCACCCTTGGATTCCGTGATTATGCTGCTTTTAAGGGAACAGATAAGCACAAGATTTGTCCTATTTGTCCCCAGCCCCTCCTGCCCCACGTCCCCCCAAGAACTCCCCATTTAGGGTTGGGGACCTTGCAGCCTCCTGTCATGGGAGGTGGGGCTGTGTCTAGACAGCATCACCTCACCCCACATCGAATCCCTGCTCCCTCCCACCAGGCCCTGGCATCTCTCCCAAATGGAGCATCTCCTGTGGCTTTCCCAGATCTGAGGTGTGGGGACCTTGCTGTCGGTGTCCCCCGGGGTGGGACATCCCCCAGTGGGACATCCTGTGCTCCCTCTGAGCTCCCCCCTGCAGCCCTCACAGGGATCAGAGCTGAGGAGCAGCAGCAGCAGCAAAGTAAATCACGTCGCAGGGAGGCTGCTCCGCGTGCCCGGGAGCTGAGGGATGGATCGGCTTCCTTTGGACTCGCATTTTCACTGAAATGTGGATTTATTGCTTTTATTTATTTTGCACTGTGCTGGAGTGCTGTGGCCTCATAAAGCAAAAGCAAAATACAAGAAAAATCTTTATGAGCTGCAAGTGCCCCGTTGGCTGGGATGATATTTCTCGGTTGTCCTGGCTCGTGGTAAATAAGGAGAGGAGAGAGGGCACTGCTGGAGCAGGGAAGGGCTGAGGCTCAGGCAGGTTCAGGGCACTGCTGGAGCAGGGAAGGGCTCAGGCTCAGCTAATGCTGTTGGTGATGGGGACCCAGAGCCATCCCAGGGATCTCTGGAAGAGCATCACTTTTGCAAAAGGAATTTTTCCCTTTGCAGCTCTAATTTCCCTTTGCAGCTCTGTCTGTCTGTCTGTCTGTCTGTGGGATGTACAGTACACGAGCACAGGCCCTTTGCCTCCCACCTGTTCTCATATTTCTTTATGTTCTTCTTTCTCCCCCTGCCCTCACCCCCCCCTTACCCTCATTATTCCTTTCTGTTATTTGATTTTATTTGATTTGATTTATTTTTTATGCTGTTTTATTTTCCCTTCTCTGTTCATCACTCGTGCCTGTAAAACCAGCCCAGGAGAAACACAACACTGAGTTCCTCCAAAAGCACCCCCAGCCCCTAAAAACACCAACCTCCCAAAGCCCAATTTCTCAGCAGAGAAGGCGTGACGCTGATTAGCAGCAGAGCAGCGATGCCGTTTGCTCGTTTAAAAAAGAAAAAAAAAAGGCATAAAAATTGCTTTTATCCACGGAGCTGAGTCCTTAAAGGGGCCAGACGTTGGCAAAGCCACCAGAGCATCACTGTGTCCCTGGTGTCCCCCCAGTGGGACCTGAACAGGGAGGTGTGGTGTGACCCGCTGGGGCGATGTCGGTGCCGCGGTGTCGGCGTCCCCCGTGGTTGTGCCGGTTTCCCCCCCGGGTGGCTGTGCCTTCCCTCACTCCCTCACCTGCTGTGATGCTCTCGCTCTGTAGGCCTCACGCCGAGGACTTCAGCGTGGATTCCTCCTTCTCACAGTAAGTTCTCCGCGTGTTTTCCCCGCGCCGGCGCCGCGGGAAGGGGCGAGGGCTGCGCTGGCACCGCCGGCCCCGGGGACCGTCGCTCTGGCCACAGGGAGAGGCCAACGGTGTTCTCCAGAGAGTAAAAAACCCCTTGGAATCTGGGGGGGTTGTGTGGTGTGTGTGCACTGGTGAGCAAAGTACTTTGGGCAGTACTGCTGCTGAGAACAGTGGTTGGACTTGGCTTTAAATTAGTGATGGATTAGGGGTGGATGCTCCAAGTGTTCAAGGCCACCTTGGATGGGGCTTTGAGCAGCCTGGTCTAGTGAAGGTGTCCCTGACTTTTAAAGGTCCCTTCCAACCCAAAGCAGTCTGTGATTCCATGATTATTCTGCTTTTAAGCACAAGATTTGTTCATTACTGCTCTTGGCACCGAGGAGTTGTGTATGGGACCAGCAAACCCTTCTGAAATGATCCCCACCGTGGGGAGGATTATCTGCACCCAGGGACTGGCAGGTTTCTTGGGGGAAGGAGTGATATCCTTGGCAGCAGATTGGTGATTACCCATTAACCATGAGCTCCATGCACAGACCCTAATTAAACAATGCAGATTCATCAGCACAAGCAATTAGAGGAGCAGACTCATGAGTGTCAGCCTCCAGTGTTGCAAAACAAATAAGGCGAACGAAACACAGCGTGTTATTCCATTGCTTCTTCCCTTCTTTGGGTTTTAATCTTTTAAAATTATTATCATTATTTTATTAAGAGCAAGTGGTGCCACTGCCCAGCCATGGGCAACGTCCAGACCTTGGATGGGAGACAGTGGGATGATGAGCTGAGGGATGAGCAGGTCCTTGCCCAGGGCCCACGGTTGGGGATGTGTCCTCAGTGCTGAGCGAGAGCCCTGGGACCCCACACGGAGAGGTCTGGATCAGGGGATCCCAGAGCACATTCCAGTGCCTGAAGGGGCTCTAAGAGAGCTGGAGAGGGACTTTGACCAGGGCATGGAGGGGTAGGACAAGGGGGAATGTCTTCCCACTGACAGAAGGCAGGGTTAGATGGGATATTGGGAAGAAATTCTTACCTGGGAGGGTGGAGAGGCCCTGGCACAGGTTTCCCAGAGAAGCTGTGGCTGCCTCTGGATCCCTGGAAGTGTTCCAGGCTGGGTTGGATAGGGCTTGGAGCAACCTGGGCTAGTGGAATGTGTCCCTGCCCATGGCAGGAAAGTGGAACAAGATGATCTTTAAGGTCCCTTCCAACCTAAACCATTCTATGATCTCCAACCCCTGAGTGTGTCACTGCTTCCTCCAGTGCTTGGTTTGGTGCCTGGAAATGAGCCCTGCAGCTGCTGAATACAGTTGGAGAGGGATTGCAGCTGCCTTCAGGGAACGAGGAATCGATAAAAATCCCATTCTCATTGCAATGTCCTCCCTAATAATAAAAAATAGTGTGTATATATATATATATATTAAAAAAAAAAGAACAAAAAGTCCAGCAGGAGATTTCTTTTATATCATTACAGATTCATGAAGCCTTTTCTGGCTGGCCAGGGCCTGTGTCCCAGCTCAGTGCCCTCAGCCTGGTGCCTCTTGCCCAGCCCTTGTCCCACTGGCACACGAGTGCTTGTGTGGATGAGTTCAGGGAATTGCTCTTCTCATGGTGCAAGTTGAGTTGTCCTGAGGACTGGCCTGGGAAGCCAACCTTGGTCTTGGCAGAGTCTTTCCAGAAGTAGCTGCTTGGAGCTTGCTTTCCATCCCCTCAAAAATAAAACTGCAGCGTTGCTGCTGGAGCCAGGATGACATTACCTGCACCCAGCTGGGTTTAATTTGCTGCAGAGTGGTTGGCAATATCAATTCTTTCCCTGGGCAAAAATCACTCTCCATAATAAAACGGGAGATGGATTTTTTTTCCTGAGTTATTCCCGTGGTAAATGCACAAAGTCTGGGAGAAACAAGTTTTTGAGCTTGTGGGGCATGGCATCCTGGCTCTCTGTGCAGCGTGGCTGTTGATGGGGGACTCAGTTTTGCTAATCTCTGTGGTGTGGCTCAGCATGTGCTCTGTCAGGAGCCCGGGCAGCTCAGCAAACTCATTCCTGGGGATGCAGGAGCTGGTGGGAATGTCTGCCTTTCCACAGGGCTGGGACAGGGCTGTGGTGGATGTGACAGTGCCACGGTGGCTGTGACAGGGCTGTGGTGGCTGTGATGGTGTCGCAGTGGCTGTGATGGTGGCACAGTGGCTGTGACTGTGCCATGGTGGCTGTCATGGTGCCTGTCAGGGGCTGCTGTGGGACCTGCTGAGCGCCTCAGCCCTGAGCACTGCCCTGATCCATTGGGATTGTCTGGGACCCTGCAGAAGGAGCGGGGAAGCAGCTTCAGTCTTGCACCTACTAAGGGATGTTGGATGAGAGTGATACACTAAAACCAGCTGGATTTCCCCTGTTTGGGATACTTGGCCTTTTGGACTATGCAGCTTCTGCCACTGGTCTCCCCAGTGCTCTCATGTACCTCCCAGGCTCTGAAACTCTCTCTCCTGGCCCCAGCCCTTCTCCCTGAGACAGGTGTCCCCTCTTCCCTTCCCTGAGGGGAAGGGGGGCTCTGCCCCTCAAAGTGGGAGATGGAGTGATGCCCTGGATCCCCATCCCTCTCTGGCTGCTCTGTGCTTTCTTGTTTAAAAATGTGCCAGATTTATTGGGGAAGTTGCTGCAGGGAGAGGTTTCCCGGGTGTTTGGTGGTGCCCTGGAGAAGCCGAGGTGTTCATGGAGAAAGCTCCTGCCAACGATGTCTCACGGCTCGGTGGGGAGTGGAGGGGCGTCCAGCCACCCTTGGCTCGTGGCACAGCATCGGTCCTGCCCAGCTGCTCCACAGGAGGGGTGAACCCACACATCCCCCTGGCCGATGAGGGACCCCCGGGGCCGTGCACCCCGTGTTTGGAGCCGTTCTCTGCACGCTCGCTGGCACAGCCCCGCCGAAACCACAGCCTTCCTCCTTTGAGTAATTGTTCAATTACTGCTTATGGAGCGTGGGGGCAGCTTGTTCCCTGTCTCTCCCCTTGGCAGGCAGCCAGGTTGTCTGTGTGCACACAGCCTGTACAGTTATTCCCACTTTCCATCTCCAAACCCTGGGCCGGGAGCAGCTCGTCGCGCTGGCGAGCCGGGAGCTCGGGTGGGAAGGGCTGGAGCTGCCCCCCCATCCTCTGCATGCCCTGGGATGGGCAGAGGGTGGCAAACACGGATCACAGAGGGGGTCAGTGTGCAAAGCTCAGTGTGGCATCTGTCTCACTGTAACTTCTGTACCCAAACATCTGTTAGCAGCAAGAAAACAGTGGGGGAAAAAGGAAAGAGAATCCCCAGGGGAATCAGGAGGGCTGGAGGTGCAGGAGATGTGCCTGGGTGGTCAGTGTGGTTGCCATCAGCAGGTACCTGAGCCTCAGGCTGGCTGGTTTGGTGGTTTGGGAAGGATTTGGGAAGGACTTGGCCTCAGCTCAGGTTCCCCTGGTGCCCGTGGGGCCCTGTTGGCACCAGATGCTCCGGAGGCTGAGCAGGACCGGAGGCAGCCTGGCCATGGCGTGGTGCCCTCACAGCATCCTCGTGCCTTTTGCACAGGAGCCTCTGCTGCTCCTCGTGCCGCAGGATGCTGGGAGAGGAAACGCTGCAGCCCTGAGCTTCCAGCCCTGCTCCTCACCTTCCTCTGCCTCGAGCTGTGCCTGGCACAGTCTCTGGGGAGCCCCCCTGAGCCAGCAGCACAGTTCCCTAATTCCAGACTTGGCCACAGCAACGTTTCTGCTGTGTTTGATCCAGGTGGATTTGCACAGAGGATGCAGAGCTGTCCTATAGGCTGAGCCAGAGCAGGGGCTCAGAGCAGGGACTCACTTGGAACTGCACTGCCTTGGCAGAGTATTGCAGAGATTTCTAGGATTTTGCTGGTTGGTTTGTTTATTCTTTTAATCCCCCAAGAAATCTCTGAAGAGTCTCATTTGCATCCTGCTACAGGATGGGGGAAATTTCTTGAGAAATTTCCTGGGACAAGAAATTGTCCCAGGTTGGATGAGGTTTGGAGCAACCTAATCTAGTGGAAGGTGTCCCTGCCCATGGCAGGTGGTTGGAATGGGATGAGCTTTAAGGTCCCTTCTAACTCAAACCATTCTAGGATTCTGTTGGAAACAGCATTTCCCACCCAGCTGAAGTGTGAGGGCAAGGAGCAAAAAACTGAGATTTTTTCTTTCCTGTCAGGGGGAATATTTATTTGAAGCCACGTTTCTCATGGCAAGAGAAACGTGGTCTTATAAGAGGTGTCTTATAAAACACAGCAAGAACAACCTGGGGCACCCAAGTCCTTCAGAAAGGAGCAGTGTGGCTTGGGGCAGGTGCTGGGGCAGAGCTGGCAGTTCCTTCTCTTGACTGGCTGGTGGATTTTGGAGCTGGATTTTGGACTGGGAGGGAGAGATGTCTCAGCTTTCAGGCCAAGCCCAGCAGTTGCCACATGCCGTGGGGATCGGAGAGAGCTGCCTGTGCCCAACTGCCCATGTAAGTGTCCTGGGAATGCAGATTTTGGGGGGGCATCTCCACCCACCCCTGTCCCTGCTGCAGTGCCCGCATGGGGGGCTGCAGCTGGGCTGCTCTTTTTTGTATTTCCCTCTTTTTTAGGAGAACTGTGTTTGTCCCAGCTCCCTGGGGAGGGTACAGGTGCAGAGCCAGGGCTGTGCTCCTCAGTGTCTATTTTAATGCCAGTGGGGTGGGATGTGCTCGTCCTGGTCTTTCATCCTGCACTTTTCCCGAACAAACTATTGTGTCTTTTTTGGGAACTCATCATCTTACAACAAATTGCCCCTAATCTTAGATTAATAAAGTACAATAAATAACGGAGTGAGGAGAATGAACTCGCTCAGGCATTATGAAGTGCATAATAGCAGTAATTACACTTCCAAGCACAGGGTTTATAGCTAAACTTGTGCTGGGATCGTTATCCACACGGCCCCGGGGGGGTTCAGGGGGGGAGAAGGGGGGGCAGAGGTGTGCTGTGCTGCCTCTCCCTGCCTGCAGGGTGGATCACTGCTGATGACCCTTGGAGCTGCCTGGGCTGGGCTGGCACCACCCTGCCTGGCCAGAGGGAGGGATGCTCGCAGTGGGAAGGATGTTTGGCTGGAGGGAGGGATGTTTGACTGGCAGGAGGGATGCTTGGCCAGTGGGAAGGATGGTCTCAGTGGGAGGGATACTTGGGCAGTGGGAAGGATGGTCCCAGTGGGGAGGTTGCTCCCAGTGGGGAATTTGTTCCCAGTGGGAAGGATGCTTGGCCAGTGGAATGGATGCTTGGGCAGTGGGAAGGATGCTCCCAGTGGGGGGGATGCCCAGCCATGGCAGCAGGGAGGGGGCAGCTTGAACAGACCATCCTGTCTGAGCTGCGGGGAAGGCAGAGCCCTCAGGGTATGTTTTGGGGTGGCAACGCAGTCAGAGTTTCGCTTGATTTTTTTATTTCAAGTTAATTCTTGACAATGAAATTAAAGGGTACGTTTTACATGATATCACCTCCTTCCCTCAGCTGGGAAGGGAGTAGGAGCTTTGATATTCTTGGATGGTGCAGCTGCCTGGTGAAAGCCATCCCTCACTCTGCCCTGGGCCAGTGGGGTGTTGGCTGCAGAGCAGGTGCCAGTGCTGGAGTGGGACCCCCATACAGCTCCAGGGGCTCAGCCCAGCTCACAGGGAGGGCAGATTATCTGCACAGGAACATGTTCTTTCTACGTTCTTTTATTGCCTTATTCTTTTTCAGTGATAAACACCCCTTTCCCCCACCTTCCTGAGACCTACTTGAGTTGCTTTCCCAGTGTTCTCCCTCCTGCAGCCAAGAGGATGGATGAATACATGGGCTACTTTGTCTTGAAAAGTTAGATCTAATCATTTAGTTCTTTTATCCACCAGCAATTATATCCATCATCTCGAGGTGGGCTGCAGAGCTATAGATCAGTGAACCATCTGGCTGGAGACAGAGATTTATATTGCTGTTTGTTTCTTTGATACAGAGACGAATGTCTGGGAGAGGAATCGTGCTCCCTGAAGTCTCCGTCTCCTCAAGGCGCTTAATCCTGAGGGACTCTGATGAATGGGGTGCTCAGCGCTCTTGTCCAAGCTGAAAGCCAGTTCCCAGCATTTCCTGGGCATTTTTAATATGGAGAAGGAGCAATTAGCTTGTATGCAGTGTTGTGAGCAGTCGTGGCAGATGATTTATGCCCTGGCACTGAAAAATTATTTGCCGAGCCTGGTTTTGGAAACGATTAATTTTGACGTGTTAGAGCCGGGTTTCTGAAGGTCTGCCTTAATGCTCTTTGCTCCTGAGGCATCGTGTTGGAGAGCCAGGGCCCGTAAATTCTCCTGCTCTCTCCCTGCAGTGGGGTCTGTCCTTGCCCACCCACCTCCTTGTTCCCTTCTCATGGTGAACAAACACCAGGTTCGGTGGAAAACCCCTCTGACCACTTTCCTGCCTCTCGGGATGCCTGGTGTGGGGCCCAGGGTGAGGGGGCTCATAAACCCCCTTCCTAATTTGCCTCCCAACCAGCTGGGCATTAATGCTCAGTGAATATTTGTTTATCCCTCTGTGTCAGAGTGAGGAGCAGCTGCTTCCCAATAAATCCCAGCCCGGTGGCCGTGCCAGGGACACGCTCGGCCGGAGCTGGCACCACGTGTGCCCCGACAGAATAACCTGGGCAGTTTAATGACTGCCACAGGGAACTTGCTCACCCTGATCTGTGCCTTGCCTGGGAGATAGGCCTGATTAATGAGGTCTTGATGAGCTCTTCCGTGGAGTTAAAAAATGAGTAATAACAGTAGCACTTACTTAAGGGACTTGTTGAATACAGTGAACGGGGGAAGAGGCTAATTCATTGCACTTAACTCCATTATGGGCTGAACTAATAATGAGCAGACTTTGTCTTGCTCAGTCTGAAGCTGAGCAGGAGGAACTGATCCCGTTTTGCTGGCACTTGGCAGGACCAGTGTGATTTATAACCTGCCCGGGGTCACCAGTGGGTTTGCAAAGGGCTGCAGGTGTTTATAAAGTACCAGGGGAGGTGACGACAGATGAGCTGAGCGGGGGCTGGTTTTGCCCACACACCCTTCATCTGGGTGGGCTTGATCCCAACCCCTGGTGACATCCATGGGGAGGAACCTCCAGCCTTGGTGAGGTTTTCTCCCATCCACCTGGAATGCAGGACTGGCGGGAGGGCTGTGGGTGGGGGTCAGGGGTGGAGGCAGGAGAAGCCGATGAAGGGACACTGCCCGTGGTGGTCACAGCAGTGGATGGGACATTTTTGGATTTACCAGAAATGTGGCTCCTCCCTGCTGGTTCCTGTGAAGTGCCCTGGCAGGTGACTCTTGTCCCAGTGCCTCGTCCCTGTGCCACGAGTCACCAGTGGCTCCAGATGCCAAGTGATGTTTGGAGTTGGTTGTCAGCTCCTGGGTTTTTCTGGAATGACCAAATGTGGTATCTTAGCAACAAAGGGAAATTTTCTCCTTTCAGAGCTGAATTGATTTTTAACAGCTTTGATGCTGAATGTTTTTCCTACCCAGGCAGAGCCAGGGCAGTACTGGGGACGTTGCCCTTGCCAGCCCCTGCTCTGCTGCAGCTGTGGGGGTTGGAGCTGCTAGGGGAAGCTGCTAGGGGAAGCTGCTCCAAGGCCACTACTTCTCTGAGAAGTTTTGGACACTGTAAAGTGTGTGTGGAAGGAGAAGTTTGTAGGTCTGATGTCAGCTGGTTGTGTGGGAATGAAAGCAAAGCCCTCAGCCCAAAGCAGACCTGGCCCTGTGGGTCAAACCTGCTGCTTTGACAGGCATTGATGTATTGCGTATTGGTGGTACTGGTGGTACTGGTGGTTCGGTACTGTGGGAGCAGCTGGGAGCCTGGGGCTGAGTCCAGGGTTGTCTGTGGGCTGTAAAGGTGGTCCCCCAGCTGGGATGGGGGGACAGGGCTCCTGGGGGCTGCTGTTCTGACCTGCCGCCCCACTGACGGGCTCCTCCGGGCGCTCTCCCCGCAGGGTGCAGGTCGAGTTCTACGTGAATGAAAACACCTTCAAGGAGCGGCTGAAGCTCTTCTTCATCAAAAACCAGCGATCCAGTGAGTGCTCTGTGCATGGAGTGTGTGTGTTCTGGGGGAAACCAAACCCTGCCCGAGCCAGTCCTGTGGGATGAGAAGCCATTGCCATCTGCTGGTGGCCGTGTCCCCGTTGTGTCCCCAGCCCGGGGCTGCTGCTGCCTCTTGGCCTTTCTGTTGGGTGTTGGCCAAGTTGGTTTGGGGGACGTGGTTGCACGAGGAGGATGGGATGCCTCCTGCCACCTTTGCTCCCTGGGAACAGCCACAGCACAGGAATCAGCCGGACAAACCGGTTGGGAGCAGGGTGGGTGCCCGGAGCTGTCTGTGGTTATCAGAGAGCAAAGGTCCCCGTCAGGGAGTGAGTGTCCCCATGTGCTTCCCTGAGGCCGTGGGGACAGCCAGGGCAGGCCGTGAGCTACCCACTCCTGCTCCAGCCACCCGGATTAGCCTCCACTTGACTAATGGTGTTTTTATTTTCTTTCTCCGAGATATCATTAGCTGTCTGGAGGGAGCCCGCTCGTTAATTTAGAAATTCACATTTTCTTTTTTTCTCCCTGCATCCTGTTGTCTTGTTAAAAAGCTGGAGCCCAGCACAACAGGGTGCCCACGGGGAAGTTTTTAATGAAAATGTGATGAATTTCTCACTTGTAATTTGAGTAACGACCCGATGAACTGGCTGGGGAGGGAGAGTGGATAAAGCAGCAGTTTTTGCTCGCTGTCCCTGCTCCTACAAGCTGGTTGCAGTGTGGTGAGCTCTGGTCTGGTGCTTTTTAATGGATGCCTGCTAATGAGGGGGGCACACTCCAGCAGCTCCTCATTCGTCTCTCACATCTATTGGGGTCAGCGAGGAGCTGACTCATCGTTATTTATTTCTGTATTCGGCTCCTGTGTGTCTGGCACGGGGGAGGACACGAAGAGCCCTGGGCAAGGTGTGAGCAACACTCCTGTGCTGCCCTGGAGCTCCGAGGGGTCCTGTGGTGGGTGGGGCTGTGCAAAGCCTGTGGGAAGCTACAGGGGTGGTGCTGTGGGGGACTGCCCAGGGTGTGTGTGGAGCACCCAGGATGCAGAGGGTGCCTGGGGTGCCCAGGGGGCTTGGGGTGCCTGGGAATGCTGCCTGCCCCATTCCATGCTCCCCTCCACCCCAGGCCTGAGGATCCGGCTCTTCAACTTCTCCCTGAAGCTGCTCACGTGCCTCCTGTACATCGTCCGTGTCCTGCTCGACAACCCCGAGGAGGGCATAGGCTGGTGAGTGCCCCTGGGCAGGGCTGGGGGTGAGGGCAGTGGCAGCTGCTCACAGCAGGTGTGGAGATGGTTTTTCCTCGCTCCAGCTCTTTGAATTGGTGGTTTAGCAAATCTTCCCAGGCTGGAGGACTTTGCTCCCTGCTCAAATCCCATGGATGGGTGTGTGGGCACTCACTGGCCCTGCCCAGAGCACAGGGAGAGGATGGGGGAAGAATTCAGGTCACATTCATTTCCAAGTGCTGTCTGGCTTGGCCAGGGGGGCACCGTGGCCTTCAGACACAGGCGAGAGCTCACGACTCGAGTGCATCACCATGCAAATAGTTTCTGAACACTGATGCCCTTGAATACTTCTACATTAAATCCCATTTAAGCATTTGGGAGGGAAATACGTTGTGCTGTTTAGGTCCTTGAGGTGACAGATGATTCCATACATCAGCTTTGCTCCAGGTTTCAGTATAAGCCTATTTTTAACATGTCCTTGCTTTGTTTAGCTCACAAACTATTGTGCTTTTTTTTCCAAGAGCTCGGACAATTGGCAGTTTGATTTTCTCTGTGTAAAGGCTGCAGGCTACCAAGTGCACCTGCACGTTCCAAAAGTGCTTCCAAACCCGTGAGAACGAAGCAGGACACGGATGCTCATCCTTGAAAGGTTTAGTGCAGCTGCAGCTCAGGGAATTCCACTTTTCCTGAGGGTGTGTGACAGAATAAAGGCTGGCCAGCGGGAACACATCCCTCACAGCAAGGCAGGGAGAGCTTGGCTCGGTGCTGCTGCCTGGCAGGATGCTCTGCCTTGTCCCAGAAGCTGAAGCTCAGCAGCTTTTGCTAATTGTAACCTGGTAATTCCCAGTTCCCCGTGTTCCACGCTGTGCCAGGGAGTGCTGTACCTCAGGAATATTGGTGTTCCACAGCATCTCTGGTATGGGTTTAACTACCTGAGGGGTTTTATTCTCCAGTAATATGTTCAAGGCTGCCTGGGTGAGACAGACTCCTGTGAAAAGCCTTGGCTATGGGAATCAGTGGATTCCCATGGATCCATGGAAGTGTTGTCCTGGTGCCTCCCCCAGCATCAGCACCCAGCGATGAGGGCACCACGTGGGCCTGGGGGGGGTCAATCCCAGCATCCCTCTTCCTGACTGCTTTTCCTTGCTCTTTCTCTCTTAGCTGGGAATGTGAAAAGCAGAATTACACAGCATTTAACCAGTCCACGAACATAAACTGGTGAGTCAGAGCTGCTCCAGTGCTGGGGTCTGGCCCTGCCAGGGTGTGGGAATGCAGGGATGGAGGTGGCTGCTGCTGGCAGCTGCCCGTGGCCATTTCTTGGTTGTGGGGCTGCTCAAGGGATGTGGAGCATCATGCCAGAATCAAATCCATGGACGAAAGCCTGTGGCTGCACCCTTGGGAATGCCTTATTCCCAGTGCAGAGGCTGCTTGAGCAAACTGGGCGGTAGGGAGCACCAGTACCTGTGCTGGTCTGCACCAGTGCCCTTGGGTTTGCATTCTGTGGGGGGTAACGACACTGGTGGCTGAGCTACAGCTTAGATCCCTTTGGGATTTTCTTTGCAGGTCACACATCTTCTGGGTGGACAGAAAAACACCGCTGTGGGCTGTGCAGGTGAGCACCCAGCCCTTGGCATGGTTGTGGGGAGCACAGAGGAGCTGGGCTTGGAGCACTGCCCCACCTGTAATACCCAGGGGCTTCCCTTGGCACGGGGAAGGGGGGATCTGTGAGCTCTGATGGACTGACAGAGCCCAGAGAGAGCCCCCAGAGCCTTTCCCTGTGTCCCTGCAGGTCAGCATTGCTCTCATCAGCTTTCTGGAGACCATGCTGCTCATCTATCTCAGCTACAAGGTGAGTGCCCAGGGAGGCAGGGGGTAGGGATGCACAGCCTGGCTCTGCCCCCTTGGCATGAATTCATTTCTCCTGTTTTGAGCTGCCTGAATCTGGAGTGTCCCAGGAGGATGTTTGTCTCGGCGCTGTCTCAGCGCTGGCTCTGCCTGTTTTCCTTTCTCATTCCCCCTCGGGCTCCTGGATAAGTGTTGTGCAGAGCAGAATATCTTCCTTTTCTGCTTTCCCTTAAATTCCCTGTTTTACACGTGTTTTTAAGGGAGGTCAGACTGACACACACCGAGATTCCTAAGGCTGAGGAGCTGGAGCTGAGCTCAGCGTGACTCCTGCCTGTGCCGAGCTCTGCTGCCTCCGTGGGCACTGCTCCAAGCCAGACAGGGAGAGGAACAAGCTGACTCCTTTGGACCAAAGCCCCTTAAAAAAGCCAAAAAAAGTGACCTTAACAAATGGCATCTTCTCAGGGACCCGGGGAGAGTTGGCAGAAGAGACTCAGACCCTGCGTCACCCCCCTGGTTTGAGTGCCAGCGATTTGTAACAGGCACTCTCACTCCCCTTCCTTGCATGAAGCGTTGTTGTCCCCCAGCAACAGTGAAAGAGAGAGGGATGTGGTGGCTGTGGAGAGGACTGGAGGGTTTGGGAATGTTTCCTGACCTCAGTGTGCCTGCCACCACCACTGGATCTCTCCTGCAGGCAAACCAGAGCATCTTCCTGGTTCCTGAAGCATATTTCCCTCATCTATAGCAGGGTCTGTGGCAGAGAGGGAGCATTTTAATTGTCCTTTGGGAAAGTTTTAAGCTTATTTAATTCTTACTTGTTTCTAATTCCTCAGGGGAACATCTGGGAGCAGATTTTTCGCATTTCCTTCATCCTTGAGATGATCAACACGGTGCCGTTTATTATCACGGTGAGTGTTTCCCGGTGACATTTGAGAGCAGCTCTAAGTGGAGTTAAAGTGCTGTAGTTCTGGAGGTGAAATAAAGAAAAATGGATGTCTGGCCAAGTAGCATTTAAAGCTGCCAGGAAGTTTTTCCTTCAATATTTTACAATATAATGACTTTCTCTGGAGCCTTATCGCAAAATCCATTCTCCCTTTTCAGCTACTCTGGTGCAGCCAGGGGAGCAGGGCTGTGTTTGGCCTCTGCTCAGCTTGGAGATGGATCCTTCCAGAAAGGGCTTGAATTGGCTGGTTATAGCTTTATTTTTTTAAAGAGCATGGATTTTACTGCAAACAACTCTTGCTTTTGTAGATATTCTGGCCTCCTCTGCGGAATTTGTTTATTCCCGTGTTTCTGAACTGCTGGCTGGCCAAGTACGCCCTGGAGAACATGATAGTGAGTGACCCCTTTTGTCCAGCTCCTCGGAGATGTGGAGGGCAGTGGGATTGGAAGGGGAGCTCTTGGATACCCCCAGCTCTGGGGAGGTTTCAGTGCTCAGTGTGTGCAGCTGTGCCGGGCTGGTGGGAGGTGAGGCTTTGCCAGCTGGGAATGCCAGGCTGTGACCTGCTGTGGAGGAGCAGCAGGAGCTGCATGTTGACAGGGATGAGGTATTTCAGCCATTCCCACGTGCCCACTCGAGCTGTCTCTCAGGGCAGCAGATCCCAGACCTGCTCATAGGAATGTGCATCCCTTTCCAAGGGCCAAATACTGGCCTGACCTTCATCTGGGGGGGCACTGCTGGAGCCAGCAAGAGAACAGCTGTCACTTGGAGGAGTTTGTACCTCCAGCCTCTCTGAGCCAGTGTGAGCCCTCTCCTCTCTCCCCAGAACGACCTGCACCGAGCCATCCAAAGGACCCAGTCCGCGATGTTTAACCAGGTGCTCATTCTGATCTGCACCCTCCTGTGTCTCGTTTTCACGGGGTGAGTGTTGCTCTTCATTTCACTAAATCCCCTTCCTCATCCAGGGAGACCAGCTGTGCCCATCCCGGGGTGATGGCAGGGCTGACCCCTCCTTGCCTTGCTTCTCTCCCAGAGCCCTGAACACCGGGAGGGAGGTTCTAAACCAAACTAATTATCCTCCCTAACTCTATGATTTTAACAGAAACTTTTCAGCAGACGTGTGTGAGGATGAGGGGTTTCTCAGAGGGTGATAGGAGTTTCAGAGCAGGGACAGCAGCTTCCCACAGGGACGTGGGCTCTGATGTGTGACGGCTCATTGACCAGAACCCATCACACTCGCTGGCTCTCACCACGCTCTTCCTCCCCCCTAACTCTGTGTAATAGCCCACTGGGGCTCCTGTTAATTAACTGGGCCTTTTACCCCGTGTTTCCAACAACAAGGCCATTCCTTTGGGGTAGGGGGTGCAGTGCTCATCACTGGCTACTTAGCTCTAAATTAGGCTTTGAATCTTCCCCTGGCTCCCTTGGCTTGGATTTGAGGCATATTACACCATTAAGTTGCTAAACGGAGAGGAAATGAAGCTTTCAGGCTCATGAGGTTTTGGCAATAAAGATGGTGCTCTGATGTGGGTGACTAATGCCATCTCAGAGCTCAGCAGTACCCCTGGCCCGTGGCATCTCCTGCTGCTGGGGCCATGGATGTGTTTCTTGGTGAGGCTACAATTCTGGTCCAGCAAGACTGAGGTGACACTTGTGTTTAGCAGGATGACTTCGAGCTGCAGGTTTGTTGGGGTTGTGCTGCCCTATCTCCTGGGCTGTGATGGGGCTTTCTCCCTGCAGGACCTGTGGCATCCAGCATTTAGAAAGAGCAGGTGAGAAGCTCTCCCTCTTCAAGTCCTTCTATTTCTGCATCGTCACCTTTTCCACGGTGGGCTACGGAGATGTGACACCGAAGATCTGGCCTTCCCAGCTCCTCGTCGTCATCATGATCTGCGTCGCCCTGGTCGTGCTGCCGCTCCAGGTTAGACCTGCGTGGCTGAGAAGGGACAGGCACGCAGAGCCTGCCCCGGGGCAGCCCTGCCGACGGGGACATCAGCTCTCTGCCTCCGCTTGCAGTTCGAGGAGCTCGTCTACCTGTGGATGGAGCGGCAGAAGTCGGGCGGCAACTACAGCCGGCACCGCGCCCAGACGGAGAAACACGTCGTGCTCTGCGTCAGCTCCCTCAAGATTGATCTCCTCATGGACTTCCTCAACGAGTTCTATGCCCACCCACGCCTGCAGGTGAGGACCAGGCGTGCTGTCCCACGGTGCTGGGCTCGCGGCCTCTCTGGGCTGGGGGCCCACCGACCCACACTGGCCTCTCTCTTCCAGGATTACTACGTGGTGATCCTTTGCCCAACAGAGATGGACATCCAGGTGCGGCGGGTCCTGCAGATCCCTCTGTGGTCGCAGCGAGTGATCTACCTCCAGGGCTCTGCACTGAAGGACCAGGACCTCATGAGAGCCAAGTGAGCAGCCCTGCACACCCCCGGCGAGGCCGGTCCTGCCACACTGTTGAGCTGCCTGCAGGTCCTGGCACCCCAGAGGAGGGTCCCCAGTGAGGTCACCCCAGATGTGCAATGAGGGTGTCCCTTCTCTGGGGGCTGGGAGGGGGCTGGCAGCGCCCTGGCTGGTACAGGCAGTGCCCAGCTTTGTGGGCCAATGCAGTTCATGGGGTCACTGCTGTCTCTTTGCAGGATGGACAATGGAGAAGCCTGTTTCATCCTCAGCAGCCGGAACGAGGTGGACCGGACCGCGGCGGTGAGCCCGGACAGGGGATGGCACAGTCTGAGACAGTTCGTGTCCCAGGCAGTGGGGATTGGGGTGATGGGTGCGTCTCACCTCTGCCCAGCACAGGAGGGTACTGGAAGGCAGCTGGGACAAGAGGATGGGGTTGAGTGCCGTGGAGAGCCTCGGGGATGGCACAGGGATGGCACAGGGACATGCAGCAGTACAGTGGTGGCTGACCCCCTGTGGGCTCACCTTCCCTCTGCTGTCCTGATTTCCCATCAGTGCTGGGTTTTGGGGCACAGTTATCCCCCATTAGCAGCAGGAGCTGGAGGAGCCCTTACTGTACTTCTCCAGGGTGGTGGGTGTTTTGCAGTTCATCAGGTGTAGAAGCGTCAAGGAGAATAAACCATCAGCCAAGTAGTTCTTGTTGCTCTTCTCCTTGGCCAGGACCACCAGACCATCCTGAGGGCCTGGGCTGTCAAAGACTTCGCTCCAAACTGTCCCCTCTATGTTCAGATCTTAAAGCCAGAAAACAAATTTCATGTCAAGTTTGCAGGTGAGTTGGAGGGGCTGTGCCCCAGCTGGTGATCAGCTGAAAGCCCTCCTGGATTGGCAGGAGGAGGAAACACCCCGTCCCCAACACCACCCCAAAATTACCACATCCCCAGGCACTGCCAGCCAGGGAAACCATCCATCCCCCTCCCTGCTGTGACAGTCCCCTCTGCCTTTCAGATCACGTTGTCTGTGAAGAGGAGTGCAAATACGCCATGCTGGCACTGAACTGCGTCTGCCCTGCCACCTCCACCCTCATCACGCTGCTGGTGCACACCTCCCGTGGCCAGTGAGTGCTGCCCCTGCCCTCCCCTTCCCACCCCTCTCCTCCCCTCCCCTCCCCACCCCTGGCCTCCCCTGCTCCTGCCTGAGCATGGAGGGACGGCAGCACCGAGGTCTCTGAGCCCAAGGGGACAAGATGGGGGTCTGGGATGTGTTTGGGGTAGCACAGTGGGGTCTGGGACCCCCATCCAGGTCAGGAGCAAAAGCCATATTGTAGGGGAACCATCCCAGTGCAGGTGGGCTGGGCAATGCCACCTTTCCAGAGACTGGAAAAAAAAAATATCTTTATGCTGGCACAGTCCCACTGGCAGGAAGGTGAATTCACAGCCTGAGCATACCCAGACCCTGCAGGCTTTTTGGTGGGTGTATGTCCAGCATGGCTGGAAGGAGCTCCACCAGCCTGGTAGAGCAGTGGTGTGCGTGTCCTGCACTCCTTGGCCAGTCAGAAATGTCTGAATTTTGGGTAAAGTGCCATCCAAACAGTTATGAAACATCCTTGCCAGATGACTCTCACCCCATGCTCGGAGCTGTTTGCCAACACGGGCTCTGAACCCTCCCTCTGCACTCTGCAGGGGCCCTCGTTAAATAAAAAGGCACTTAAAACCCGGGATGGAAACGAGCTTGTCCTCAGCAAACACCGACAGCTCGTGGTGATGTGTTGCTGTCATCTCACCGCTGTCATCTCACCGCTGTCATCTCACCACTGTTGGGCTTGGTGGCAGCTTCAGAGATTATTAGTGCTCCTTTCCTGTGGCTCTGCCCCAGGATCTGGCTGCTGTGCCAGGGGTATCCTGCCTTGGCCGGTGTGCCGGGGTCTGTGCCAACACTGGGGTGTCCTGATCTGGCACCGTGGGAGGTCCCATCCCAGCACCAAGGGGTCCATCCCAGCGCTGCTGCTGTCGTTGCAGGGAGGGCCAGGAGTCCCCGGAGCAGTGGCAGCGGATGTACGGGCGCTGCTCGGGCAATGAGGTCTATCACATCCGCATGGGAGACAGCAAGTTCTTCATGGAGTACGAGGGGAAGAGCTTCACCTACGCCGCCTTCCACGCGCACAAGAAGTGAGAGCGGGGGGGCAACGGGCAGGGGTGGGCAGGAGATACCTGCCAGTCTGCATCCCTGGGGGTCAGGAGGGCGCTGCGGGGTCCCTTGTGCAGGGACAAAGCCCCGGAGGGGGTTTCTCTCCAGCTGCGAATTCCCACCTTGTGCTCCCGGCGCAGGTACGGCGTGTGCCTGATCGGCATCCGGAGGGAGGAGAACAAGAGCATCCTGCTGAACCCCGGCCCCCGGCACATCATGGCAGCGTCCGACACCTGCTTCTACATCAACATCACCAAGGAGGAGAACTCTGCCTTCATCTTCAAGCAGGAGGAGAAGCAGAAGAAGAAGGGCTTTGCGGGGAGGGGCAGCTACGACGGCCCGTCCCGCCTGCCCGTGCACAGCATCATCGCCAGCATGGGTGAGCTGGGGGCTCGTGGGCAGGGGGGAGCAGGAGCCTGCACACACCCCTCCATTGCCCTTCTCAAGTTTGGGTTCGTTTCCTTTCCCAGGTTTGGTTTTGTTTTGCTTCTTGCACGCTCCTTGCCCTCTCCCCCACCAGTGCCAAAAACCCCTTTGCACCCCCCGTTCCGGTCACCTCACCAGTACAACACACACATCTCCTGGCACCCTGGGTGTCCTCAGCGAGCTCAAAGATCATTATTAAACCTCACGATGTCCGTTATCATTAAGTGTGTTTGCATAAACCCCCCCAAGCCTGGATTTAGCCCCCAATTATTTCCAGGACCGGAGGAAGAAATGCTGCTGGCGACGTCCTAAATCACGTTTATGATTCCCCACGCCAGGAAAGCGCCGTTTGCTCTGCAGCGAGCGGTGCATTTGTGCAGATGAGGAATACCATGAGTCATTACTTCCCGCTTGTATCTGGGGAGAGCGGGTTTTGGGGAGGCTGCGCCACACGAGCGCATTATATTCCAGGCAAATAATTTATGTGTTTGTACTCCTGAGCAGCAATTTGCATAGATTATCCCCCAGCAAGGCGCAGAGAGCTCTGCTGAGCACTTTTGTCACTGTTCCCGTCAAACACGGCTCCTCCACAGAGGAACCTTTGGCAAAGGGTGAAGGAAGGGGCAGAAATGATGGGAGTGCCAGCAGGGCAGTGGTATCTGGCAAGGCCAGTGCCTGGGCTCTGCTTAGTGGGATGCTCCATCAGTGAGTTGGATTTTTGGAAGCTGCTGGAGGACGGGATGAGGAAGTCTCTCTTGTCCCCGATGGGATATTAGGAAAAATTTCTTCACAGTGGAAGAAATATCAGGAAAAATTTCTTCAAGCATTGGGACAGGCTACCCAGGGCAGTGGTGGAGTCACCATCCCTGAAGGGTTTTAAATGATGTGTAGTTGTGGCACTTGGGGCTGCAGTTTAGTGGTGGCCTTGGCAGTGCTGGGGGAATGGTTGGAATCAGTGAGCTTAGAGGACTTTTCCAGCCTTAACAATTCTGTGTTTGTAAGACCTGGAGCTGATCAGGTGGATGAGGGAATTGCTGCCTGCCTGCCTCTCCCTGGGGGCTTCAGGACCACCAGGGTGATGAGGTGTCCATGGGGAGGACAGTGTCCCAGTGAGGGGCAGACATGATTCCTAAATTGGCTGTTCCCAACCAGGTTGGTATCTCCCAGAGCCTACAGGGAGCTGCAGGCAGGGGTTAGGCTGGAGGGTTTTCATCTCACAGATATATCACAATGATAAAAACCATCACAGAGCCAGGTTTTGCTGTTCAGTGAGCAGCAGGTAGGCAAATGTTTTAGCTGGCAACAGAGACAGGGACAGTCCCTGGGCCGGCTGAGCTGTGCCCCCGGGGAGATGCTCCACACACCAGTGCCCAGGTGGAGGTCACTGGTAGGGGCTTTCCCTGCACTCCCCATGCCCATGGATGGCTGAGCATCACTTGGGCTGTCCCTCATCCCTGTGCAGGGCTCCAGGGCGCTCCCTCAGCTCTCTGCACCTCCTTAGAGTGTGTTTGCCGTGCTTCCCTCCTCGCCATGTCCAGGTACAGTGGCCATGGACCTGCAGAACACGGAATGTCGCCCTGCCAACAGCAGCAAACTGGCTCTGCCAGCCGAGAACGGCTCCGGGAACCGCCGGCCCAGCATCGCCCCCGTCCTGGAGCTGGCAGACACCTCGTCCCTGCTGCCCTGCGACCTGCTCAGCGACCAGTCCGAGGACGAGATGACACAGTCGGACGAGGAGGGGTCGGCAGTTGTGGAGTGAGTCACTCTCTGTTCCTTGAGCCCTTCCTTGGCTGGTTCGTTCTGGCTGGATCCAGTTCATTCTGGTTGGATCCAGTTCATTCTGGTTGGATCCTCTTTGTTCTAGTTGGATCTGGTTCTCTCTGGTTCATTCCAGTTTCAGAGAGACTGGGACCGTGGTACTCTCAGTGGTGCCTGAGGGATGCTCAGGCTCAGCCCCTCTCAGTTTTTCCATGACCACAGGAAAAGCTGTGCCATGGACAGTCCCCATGACCATGAGCCTTTTGGGCTGCTTTGGAGAATTCTCTGGGAATCAGCAGAGTTGCCCCAAGGCAGATGCTGCTGGGGATGGGCAGGTTGTTCCGTCATTCCTCTCACCTCCTCCACTCACCAGTGATGTGAAAAGGGTCCTGTTCTCCATTGCACATAAATAGAAAACACAAAATAGATATTCACCACAGCTTTTAAGGTGTTTCTTAGTTTGTGACAGCCAGGGAAGGACTTACCTTACTGCTTTCCTGTCTGGACGGTGTCACAACCATGTGGGGAGTTACTGAATATCCATGAACCCTCACAAATTGGTGTGGAATTCACGTCCACTTTTAGCTGCACTTTAAATGAAAATGTATGCCTTTGATTCCATCAAAAGTACAAATGTTGATTTTTTTAAAATACCTGTTCACCAAAGCAAACTCTACAAATGGACCATGAAGTTTTTTGCTTCTTTATTTGGCTCAGCACTGTCCTCTCCTGGCCCTCACTGCCCTGTCTCCCTCCAGTGGTCCTGTCTGCTGCCTTCTCTACCTGTGCTGGGAACATGGAATGTGGGGCTTTAGCCCCGCATCTTTACAATCTCATGGCTCTTTGCATAGCAAAAAACATTCCTAAATATTTGTATATTTGGGAAAATTTCCAGCTACTGCAGGAGACTTTTGCAGAGCATTTGCCACCGATGTGCTTCAATCCTGGGCTGCTGCTGTTAAATGGTTTTTTTCCCAGCATCTGAGTTTTGGATATATGGACAATCTCCCTGTGCCCTCACACTGCTGGGTTTTCCCTCTGCTGCAGGTATGTGAAGGGTTACCCCCCAAACTCCCCCTACATTGGGAGCTCCCCAACTCTGTGCCACCTTTTGCCTGAGAAAGCCCCGTTCTGCTGCCTGAGGCTGGACAAGGTACGATGGGGCTGTGGGGGCTGCCCGGGGGCTGCAGCCCCCCTAGAGCCACCTGCTGAGTCCCCCCCACTGCCTCCCACCCCACAGGGCTGCAAGCACAACAGCTTTGAGGATGCCAAAGCCTACGGGTTCAAGAACAAACTGATCATCGTTTCGGCAGAGACGGCGGGGAACGGGCTGTACAACTTCATCGTGCCCCTCCGGGCCTACTATCGGTCCCGCAAAGAGCTGAACCCCATCGTGCTGCTGCTGGACAACAAGCAAGTACTTTTCCACGGATGTTTTCCATCACACTGAGCCCTCCCTGTGTTCTTGTGGGCGTCTCATGCTGTGGGATGGGAGTGTGGGGCAACGGCGGTGCCGCCCACGGGTGTCTCGGCTGATGTTGGCCCTGGGTTTTGTGTCTGTCTTTGCCCCACGGGCTTGCTGAACCGCCTTGCTCTCTGTCGCTCTCCCTCCAGGCCTGAGCACCACTTTCTGGAAGCCATTTGTTGTTTCCCCATGGTTTACTACATGGAGGGCACCATCGACAAGTAGGTGTTTCCGTGCGTGGCTGTCGTGACTTACGGTGCTGCCTGAATGCATTGGATTTATCCCAGCCCAGACTTTTGGGTCACCCCATGAGAAGCCCCAGGGTTGGCACCGGTAGAGCTGAGCCCACCCTTGGCTTCTCGGGGTGCCAACCCCTCCCTGGTAGATGGAAGCAGGTGAAGAGCTGGTGGTGGGGAGCAGGCTGGTCTGACTGGAGCGCTGCGTGCCGCAGCGTGCTGCTTCCCTGTGTCCTTCCCAAGGGCTCACCCTGCGCTCTTCTCTTTGGGAACTGCCCAGCCTGGACAGCTTGCTGCAGTGCGGCATCATCTACGCCGACAACTTGGTGGTGGTGGACAAGGAGAGCACCATGAGCGCCGAGGAGGACTACATGGCAGATGCAAAGACCATTGTCAACGTCCAGACCATGTTCAGGTGAGGGGTGACCACTGACCACCACTGGGGACAAGCCCAGGAAGGGTGTTGGTGGCCGGGGAGGTGGCTGTGGGCAGTGGGACACATCTGTGGTTGAGGAAACAGCTCCTAATCAGCTGTTTCTGTCCTCAAACAGGCACAGGGGTGGTTTTGGTCCTCCTCAGGCTATAACTGCAGGGAATGATCTCACCTCTGAGTGAGCTGCAGGACAACAGGTCTCTTTCCATTGCAGGCTCTTCCCCAGCCTCAGCATTATCACGGAGCTGACCCACCCCTCCAACATGAGGTTCATGCAGTTCAGAGCAAAGGACAGCTACTCTCTTGCCCTTTCCAAACTAGAAAAGGTAAGAGAAGGTTGTCCCCTGCATGGGGGCCTGGGAAGTCACTGCTGACAGTGACTGCATTTGAGCTCCCTGAAGTCCTGCGTTCTTGCCACATCCAGAAAACCCAGTCCTGTCTCACACATTTCCATGGAGAAAAAAACCTCTTTCCCCCAGTGCAAGGCTGCTGCCCTGGCTCCCTCCTGTCACACCCACCAGAAACACTACACTGGTGTCCTCCCCATTTCCATGAGCCCTCTAGTTTCTGTGCAACCCATGCTCTCATCTCTCCTGCCTCTTCCAGAGAGAGAGAGAGAACGGCTCCAACCTGGCCTTCATGTTCCGGCTGCCCTTCGCAGCCGGGAGGGTCTTCAGCATCAGCATGTTGGACACGCTGCTCTACCAGGTGAGAACCAGGTGGGCTCTGGGTGATGCACCCCTGCAGCTCTGGCCACCCCTTTCCACCTCCCAGTGAGTAACTGAGCAAACCTTTTCCCTGGGTTCCCACCCAAATGTCTCCCCCAGTCGTTCGTGAAGGATTACATGATCACCATCACCCGGTTGCTGCTGGGCCTCGACACCACGCCAGGCTCTGGATACCTCTGTGCTGTAAGTGCCAAATCCCCTTGGGTTGTAACCACCAGGCCAGGTCTTTGTGGATCTGGTGGGATCCATCACCCTGCACATGTGGGTGGGGGGGTTCCCCTATTCTGGGGGGTCAGGGGGAGCAGCACTGCCAAGTCATATTTCCCCTCCATTGTGGGGAACCTCAGCACTACCAAAAGCCCCAGAGCCGCCAAGGACCACAACCCCTGTTCTGAAGGCTGAGGTCAGAAGTTGCTCCTGGTCTTCTCGTGGAGTCCAGCTTGCCTTTGGGATTGTCGTGGATGAGCCGGGGTGAAGCTCAGGAGCAGCCCGAGGTGCTCCTCAGTGTGTTCTCTGTGGTTCATGTTTGTCCCCTGTTGCTCAGATGAAGATCACTGAGGATGACCTGTGGATCCGGACGTACGGCCGCCTCTTCCAGAAACTCTGCTCCTCCAGTGCAGAGATTCCCATCGGGATTTACAGGACGGAGTCGCACATGTTCGCCACCTCCGAGGTACGGGCGCGGTGGTGGCACATGCCAGGAAGGGGCTGCTGGTGGGATCCATGAGGCCCCTCAGACCTGGTTTCAGCAGTGGTGGGAGGATGAGGGGAGGGGAAGCTCTGCCTTCCCTTCACGAGCAGCCCCGTGGCTGTTTTGGGGGTGGTGTCCTGGATAAGCTGGGTCGGTATCAGTGCCCGTCTCTCTGGGCAGCGTGGGGAGGGATGTCCTTGGCAGAACTCTGCCATGCCACCGGGCATCCAGGGAGCAGGAGGGCACAGCAGGGCTGTCCCTTTGCCAGGCTGACTCTGCTTTCCCTTCCTTCCCCCCCGTTGCAGCCCCACGACATCAGAGCGCAGGTGAGTGCCACTCGCGTCCCGCCACGGGCACTCGGGTGCTGTGGGGCACTGCCCTGGTGTCAGTGCTGCCCTCTGGTCCCCCCTAACCAGGGGCTGATCCATGGGCAAGTGCTGTCCTAGCTCTGGCCACCGAGAGCCACCACGTACCTTGTGCCAGCTGTCGGCCTTGGCGCCGGCACGGCACTGCCCGTCCCCATGGCAGGGCAACACTGGCTGAGCCTCACTCAGCACTCTGGGAAAAGTCCTCAGTGCCCTGACATGTAATTAACTGGGATAAGGAGCAAGGAAGTGAGCCAGGATCCCTCTTAAACGCTGTCATTTTGCAGCTTTGTAGGAAGCAGCGACAGGGAGCCGAAAGTTGACATTTAATTAAACGCAGCCCAACTCTTTGAGAGGCCTTGAAGGGCTTTATTAATAAATTCCTGCTCACCAGTGGGATTGCTGGGTCGGAGATGTGGCAGCATTGCTGCTGTGAGAGGAAAGACAGGCAGATGAGGGCATGGCTGTGTCTCAGGCAGATATCACAGAGAATTGTGGAGCACTCAACAGTGCTTGTCCCAGAGAAGCTGTGGCTGCCCCACCCCTGGAAGTGTTCAAGTCCAGGTTGGATGGGGCTTGAAGCAACCTGGTCTATGGAAGGTGTCCCTGCCCATGGCAGGGTGTGGAACTGGACGATCTTTAAGGTCTCTTCCAACCCAAACCATTCTATCATTCTGTGAAATCTGCCAGCCAGGTAGTTTTTGCAGCACAGAGGTGAAGTGCCAGGAGAAGGGGGGGCTCAGAGGAAGGATCCCATCCCATGGGGGGGGAGGTTGATCCCACCCCACCAGCCACAGGCCAAGCCATTCTTGGCTCCCCCACCCCCGTGACCTGCCGGGCTTCCAGTCACAGATCTCAATCAATGTTGAGGACTGCGAGGACACCAAGGACATCAAGGAGCACTGGGGGATCAAGACGAGCCACCACAGGAACTCGTGCTCCAGCGACCAGTCGGAGCATCCCCTGCTGCGGCGCAAGAGCATGCAGTGGGCCCGGCGGCTGAGCAGGAAGGGCAACAAGCACTCCAGCAAGACGGCCGAGTGGATCAGCCAGCAGCGCCTGAGCCTGTACCGGCGCTCCGAGCGCCAGGAGCTGTCCGAGCTCGTCAAGAACCGTATGAAGCACCTGGGCCTGCCCACCACCGGGTACGGTAAGTGCCGCCCGGCCGCGCTGCTCTGCGGTGCTGCGTCCCGTCCCGCCCGCGGGCTCCTCAGGTAACCCCCAAGCCGAGCCTAACCCGCGCCAAGCCTAACCCCCAAGCTGAGCCTAACCCCCAAGCTGAGCCTAACCCCCAAGCTGAGCCTAACCCCAAGCTGATCCTAACCCCAAGCTGATCCTAACCCCAAGCTGATCCTAACCCCAAGCTGAGCCTAACCCCGCGCCAAGCCTAACCCCATGCCAAGCCTAAACCTGAGCTTAGCCCCGCACCGAGCCTGTCCCCGCAGGCGCTGCCGGGCCTGCTCCAAGCAGCGCCTCATTCCCCAGCTTGCTTGTGCTTGTGCGGCGTTCCAGGCTGGGGTCCCGCCACGCAGACCCCCCTGCCCTGCCACACCCCCCCCTCTGGGCTCTGGGATGGCTCCAGGCAGGAGCTGGCAGTGGCAGTGGCGCTCGCCCTCCTGCCCGCAGCAGGACCCGGTGCTCCCGCGCAGCCTCGGGGGGCGATGCCCCGCTTGCCCCCCACTTTCTGGTGGTTCAGGACACACCAACCCCAGGTCAGCAAAGCCCTTGTGCCCGAGAGCCCCTGTAGTGCGGCAGGGAGAGGTGAAACCCCATCAGCTGGCGCAGACCCCGGTTGTTGTAGACACTTGAATCCGTCGTAAACTCTTCCGTGGAAAACCTTTCGGTAGCTGCAGGGCTGAGTTGCTTCATGGCGTGTGACACCGGTGTCTGGCTGTGACAGTGCTCAGGGTCCCTCTGTGCAGCTGCATTTCTCGTGAAGCTTCTGACCTGCCCGTCGGTGCTGCCGTCTGTGTCCCCCCGGACGACTCCCCACCCCTTGGTTATGACAAAGTCTGTAGCCCACAGCTCCCTTGGTTTGTTTGCTTTGGGTTTGGTTTTGGTTTTGGTCTTTTTTTTTTTTTCCCTTTCTTTGAAGCCATCCTGTGCTGCTGCTTGTTTGCTCCATCCTCCAAGAGAGTCCGTCCACCCCGTGCTGGCCCCTGCCCACACTCAGGCTGGCACTGAGCCCCAGCTGGCATGGGAGCTGGGTTTGGGACGTTTGGGGGGTGGGATCCCTCTTTTCCCATCTTGGCTTTAGGCACATGAAAGAGGAGGAGAGTATGTAAAGTGCAGTGCAGGGGGGTTTGGAGCAGAGGGCCCAGGGGCTGGCTGTGGGTGTCACCAGCCTTCCCAGGGAGGGAGGCAGGAGACCCAGCTTGAGGTGGGATGGAGGGAGCACAGGGCATGCCAGGCAAGGGCTTGCAGTGGTGTATCCCCCTCTCCTTTTTTCCCCTACATTCCTGGTCCCTGAAGTTTCTGCTGTAGTTTCAGGGGGGCTGCCTGGCCTTGGTGAGGCTTCCCAGGGGCCACCCCACCATCAGCCCCACTGGGGTGCTCAGGGCACATCCTGGGGTTAGATCAGAGTTGGCATCCTTGTCCTGGAAAATTTCAGTGGAAGCAAACTGGGGGATCTCTGGCAGGAGAAGAGGCAGTGGGAGGGTACAGGACCCACATCCCGTCGGGGTGGGACAGGACCAGGGCACTGGGGCACCCTCAGCTCCCTGGCCCCTGTGGCACCTCTGCACCCAGCGGTGCTGGGGCTGTCTGTGTGCTGTCCCCACGTGTCACCGTCAGTGTCTGGCCACCCGTGGTGTTTTGGAAGCACACGTTGCTCTGCCTTCTGCCCCTCTCCTTTTTCTTTTGCTCATGTTATCGCTGCAGCGCAGGAGCTCGTCTCTGATATTGCCGAACCATGGCTTGCTGACCTCTCTCTCTCTCTCTGTTTATGTCTGTGCCTTTCCCTGTATGTTCTGTAGAGGATGTAGCAAATTTAACAGCCAGTGATGTGATGAATCGGGTAAACCTGGGATATTTGCAAGGTAATTCCCTTTCCCTGGGAGTCCCGCGTGACTCATGGCGTGCAGCGTACAACAAGATCATGCCAGCTAAGCCCAAACCTCACCCTTGCCAGTTTTCACCTTAGATCCCCGAGCTTTTCAGCACTAATTTGTTGGGTGGCATTGGAAATCAAAGGACTGGCCTGTAGTGGTGGTGCAAACTCAGGGCTTCGCTAAATCAGGGAGACAGAAACCTCGGGGACCCTTTTCTAGTTGAATTCCTACAGGGAAATCACAGCCCTCGCTGTCTCTAACAGAACCCTCCCCCCGTGGCTCTGCAAGGTGGCTTTGGGCTGTGAAGCCAGTGGCAGTTTGAGGAGGGGACGAGCACAGCAGAGCTGCCTGCGCATGTCATGATGAGCTGCTGGAGCTCCTGCACCTTGGTGCATGTGGGTCAGCCCCAGGGGCAAGGCACCCCTTCAAAATCCCTTTGCACCCCTCGGTTTGCCCCCCTGGACCCCTCTCCAGCATTGGCAGGCCCTGTTTTCTGACTGGGCTCAGCACGAGGTGCCACCGGTGCTGCAGCTGCTCTGGGCACCTCGCTGGGGTCTGCAGGAGCTGAGGGGTGTTTGCATTATTTTCATCTTTACACCACAGAGGTCCCTTTTTGCTGCAGCAGCCCTGAGCTTAGCAATAGTCTGACCCAGCTGTATTTTTGGCTTCACTGGGCCACGCTTAAGGTGAAACGTTGGCATTTTCCTGTAAAGTGTGTCCTTCATCGGAGAGGCAGCCCCAGCTGGGGCTCATGGAAGCCCCACTCCAGCAGAGTATATTGCCCTGGGCGCTGGGATGATGGAGCAATATACTTGGTGTGCTCAGAGTGCCTGGCTTGGCTGCATGGGGGTCAGGAAAAGGTGCTTCCATGGAGCAGGGAAACCTGCCACGAGCCAGGGCCCTCCCCACCTCCTGTCATGTCAAACCCCGTGTCTGCCGTGGGGTCCCAGGGTCTGTGTGCCCCCCTTGCCCCAGCATTGCCACCCCTGTCCCTGTCTCGCTGTCAGGCTGGGCACTGGGATGGCCAAAGGTCCAGGGACCGGGGTCGGACACCCCGGCACAGGTCGGGGGTCCCACACAGCATCTCCCCGCCCAGCTACAGCACCTTCTGTGGCCTCAGAGGTGCCAGGGACGTGTCTGAGGAGCAAAACGAGGGTCTGGTGTCCCCCTGCAAGCACTGCTGCGTGTGGTACCTGCCTGAGGTGCCCTGGGGTTCATCTGGACATGTCCTGGCAAAGGCAGCTCAGGAGGAACCTGTTTGCACCCCTGTGCTGGGTGGCTGTGGAGGCTGGAGCTGCTGTGGCTCATCCCAGAGCTGGAGAAAAGCCCCACTTCAAAGGTTTCACCCCAGTGCTGGGGCTGAAGAGCAGCTGGGCCACCCCCCTATGCCAGGGTGCTGTGGCACCACTGGCACTGCTGTGGCAGGAGACTCCGGCTGTGCCCGCCACGGGGCAGGGCAGCCTTTGACAGAAGGACCCTCCACCCCAGGCAGGGGCACAGCAGGGATGGGGTGGTGGGAGCAGCAGGACAGGGAGCCGGGAGCAGCCCCCCCAGCCCGAAGCTGATGCCGATCCCAGATCCTGGTCCTGCTGCCCCCAAACTGAGCTCCATTTTCTGGGATCATCAAACACCAAGGCTTTTCCAAAAGAGGCATCCCAGTGACAAGCCTTGCAGTGAGCTGGTGTCCCGCCGTGCTCCTCACGCTGCCCCGGCGTCCATCTGTCCGTCCCCTCTCCATCCTGTCCATCCACACCCATCACCCCGTCTGAAAACCGTGTTCTCTGTCGCAGCTTCCCCCCCCTCCTGGCCGCCCGCAGCCTCGCACCCACATCCATTTCACCATGATCTTGTTCTTGGCTATTTCGGGAAGTGCAGGGGCCCCGCCTGGCATCGTGGATGTCCGTGGGTGCAGCTCTTGGTGGCCCCGAGCCCCCCCGGGAGGTCACTGTGGTTCAGAGCCGTCCCCAAATGTCATCGACGGCTCTGAAACTCCACGGGGGCAATTTCCCTTGGGCAGGGGAAAGAAGCAATCCTGTTGCTGGATTGATGCTAAATTGAGTAATTGAAGAAGGGGGAGAGGTGAGCAGAGTGTTTTTGTGGCCCCGGGGGGGTTTGGCTGCCCTGATGCAGTCTTGGACTTGTGCTGTACCTAACGCAGCAGGACTAACCTGTTCCCTCTTTTGCACTGAACCAAGGTAAGACATCTCACTTTATTCTGGGGGGGAGTGGGGACTTTGAAGAGTTACATCTGTCAGTCCCCTGGGCCTGTGGCAGGGGAGAGGCTGGGGAGGTGTGAGGGAGGTGGCAGTGACGTTCTTGGTGCTTTCCCACTGGCAATGCCATTGCCCACGGCTTTCCCAGTGAAGGGACCCCTTTGCTGGGGGAGCAAGGGCCAGGACAGTGTCTGTCAGCATGTCTGTTGGGGTGGCTGTCGGGGTGTCCCTCCCTCACCAGCCCTTTCCCCTCCTCTCACAGATGAGATGAACGACCACCAGAACACCCTGTCCTACGTCCTGATCAACCCTCCCCCGGACACGCGGCTGGAGCTCAACGACATCGTGTAGGTGTTGCCCCCACCCACCTGTGGGCTCCCTGTGCCCCCAGACTAACCACAGTGCCCTGGGGTAACCCCCACTGCGTTGCTTTCCATGATTTCTCATAAATACCTGCAGGTTTTGGCTCCTTCCCAGGCCATTCCCCCTCCCAGTGTTCCAGTGCCCAAACCACTCCAGCCCCAGCAATGTGGAGCTTTTCCTTTGGCTTTTGCCACCGTGCAGCTCCAGGAGGAACACCTCCTGATTATTTATTGTGTTGCTTTATGGCATTTATTTTAACAGCTATTACTATTTAACACCTATTATTTTAACAGCTGTGCTGTTCTTTGCAAGCAGCAGCTCCCAGCACGGCACCGTGGGGCACGTCCCGGCCTCAGGGCTGGGCCAGACCCCAATTCCGGGGTCACACAGCTCCCTCCTGGTACTGGGGAGCTGGGGGGTCCCAGAGGTGTAACCAAGCTGTGCCCTGCAGGTACCTGATCCGCTCCGACCCGCTGGCCCACGTGGCCAACGACGGCCACAGCCGCAAGAGCAGCTGCAGCAACAAGCTGGGCTCCAGCAACCCCGAAACGCGCGACGAGACCCAGCTGTGAGCGGCCCCCCCGCGCCCAGAGCCCCTGCCAGGGCCGCAGGGCTCCGGGACAGGCGGCGGAGAAGAGGACGGGGCAGCCGGGGGGGCCGGAGGAAGGCCATGCCCAGCCTGGCTCTGCGCCGTGGGAGGGACGCCCGGAGCCCCGGGAGGGGCGGGACAGCCGGACAGACCCACGGCTGGACAGAGCCACAGCCGGACAGACCCATGGCCGGACAGACCCCCAGCCGGCGGCAGCGCCCCGTGGATTTTAACTTTTTATACCGATACCGCAACTAGTGAGCGAGTCGGCGCGGGGGCCGGGGGGACGTGGCCGAGCCCGGTGCCCCCGCGGAGCAGGGCTGGGTTTGGTGTCGCCCCACAAGGGGCACGTTGGGTGGGGCTGGTCAATGCGAGAGCAAAACTGCACCGAAACCCTCCTCCTCCTTCACCAGGTGTCCCCCCGGGTCCCCAAAGTTGTGCTCTTTCACCCAGCTCATGTTCGTTGCCCTCCGCTGGGTTTCTGTGCCGGGTGTCCACGCGAGGAGCGCTCAGAGCTGTGCTGGGAAGGACCCAGGGGTGCCGTGGGATGGATGGGATGGGGCAGTGCAGCCCCCACCGGTGCCATGGCAGGGGCTGCTCTGCCTCCAGCACTTTGTGTCATCTCACGAACCAAAACACGCCGAGCCCGGGTGACCAAAGCCGTGCCATCCCCACGGCAGTGCCTCCTGGCACACGTGCCCAGCCTGAGCCCTGGCTACAGGCACGGTGCCCCTGGGTTTGTGTCCCCTGTTGCTGCTGCTGCTGCCGGGGGGGATTTGGGGATCCTTGTCCTGGGGGTGGGATGGGGCAGAGTGCCCAGGCATCACTGGCTGTGGTGGTTTGATGTCTCAGCTCAGCCCTTTCCCCTCCATCCAGGAGCAGTTGGGGCTCCAGCCCTCCCATTTGTCCCGGTCATGGCTTTTTGTCCTTCCCCTCCCTGAAGTCACAGATCAATAACACCACTAAGGCAGCGGGTTCTGCCTGTCCCCCTCCACCCCCCATGGCCCCCCAGCAGCTCCAGCCATCCCTGTTTGACTTTATCCCCCCATCCCCATGGCTTTGCCTGCAGCAGAGGTGCATGAACGTCCAGCATCACCCACCCGTGGGGACCCGGTGGCAGCAGAGGCACCAGATGTGTTTTCCATCTATTTTTGCACATGTGGAAAGGGTTTATTTGCCTGCCAAGCGACTGACCGAGGCAGGGTTAACTTTATATACTTTTGTGTTCAGATCTTCAAACTCCAATGTGGTTTTTTTTTGTTGTTGTTTGTTTTTAACAAGAAGCCTGGAAAGCACAACATGGCCGTGAAATCCCATCAGCATCCAACTGAACGGTTTGTTGCCATTAACATCCACTGTTTGCTCCCCAGGACACCCCAACTAAATGTTTACAGGAAAAAAAAAACAAACAAAAGAAGCCAAAACCTGCTTAAAATGACAGTTTTTAACAGTTGGGGGGAGATGCCCTGGGGCAGCCCCAGCCCACGGGGATGTGCTGCCCGTCCTGCCCGTGGCGCTGGGGGAGAATTGGGGATGCCCAGAGTAGGACCTGTGCCAAGGTAGGACCTTGAGAAGGTGTTGAGAGAGACCTGCTGTGCCTGGATGGGGGTTTTGGGGTCCGTTTTTTTTATTATTTATTGTTGTTTTTTCCTGAAGTGCTGGTCAGGAGGCCCTGGGTGATGGCACATCCCGGGCTTGGAGAGGCACCACAGGGAAAAGCAGAGTCCAACCTTCCTGCTCCACTGAGCTCTGGGCACAAACAGAACTGTCTCTAATGTTTTTTTGGGGGTTGTTTTATTGCCTTTTTTTTTTTGCCTTTTTTTTTCAATTATTAATTTCGTATCTATTTGGTTAAGGCGGATTCGTGTTTTATTTATTTCTGCTCGTAACTTCACGTGCCAAATCTGTCACTTCAAATGAAAAAAAAAAAGGGTAAAAAGTGGGAGGGGTTGAAGTACTAAAACACACGCTGGCTCTGTGTTAATGTAAAGCCTCAGGATGCTCAGATCACCCCAAAAATGCCTCGTTGAGCATTTATGTATTGAATTGCCTACATCTGAGACAGAGCATTTTCCAAACCCCACTTTTTCAAGGGACAGTGGAACAAAGCAGGGTTACAGGTTTAAAAAGAAACCCAGATCCCAAATAAAATAACAGATGTGATTATCTGCATGTGTCTACTCAGAATATACAATTTTTAGGTGGGTATTTTTGTTTGACTGGCTGCTGGGGGGCAGGACGGGGTGAGCACAGTGTTGGTGGGTGTGGAGAAGCAAACAATGCTCCTCAGCTAAACCCTCTCATTTCAAGGCACTTAAATTCCATAAAAAACCCTTAAATTACTTTAAATTTCACTCCCCAGCCCCAAGCAGCCAGGTCAGCCATGTGGCCCAGTCCGTGCTCCAGAGGCTCCATCGGAGTGTTGGGTCCCTCTCCTCCCTCACCAGGCACACGAGGTCCTTCCTGACCCTTAATCCCAGGAAATAATCAACCTCAGAGGAAGCCACAAACCAAAAGGACTAAAGGCTCTCCATGGCTTGTGATCCTCCCAAAACACCCTCAATATTCCCATATTTTGACGACGGCCAGTGTATAAACCCCTGGATTCCAGGCAGGCGCTCCCCGTTCCGCAGGGTCGTTCTTCCTACGGTGTAAAATTCCAGCCAAACTCCTCCTGGGATGGAGGAACAACCCCCTGTAGATATTCACCCACGGGCAAGGCAAGTCTGAGAACCGAGGGTTCATTTTTTTTTTCTAGTTCTTTAGCCTCAGTTACAATACTAATGTAAAAAACAGAAGTATTTTATTTTTTTAATGGAGCAGCGACAGGAGTCGTTTCTGTTTGGGACAGGAGCACAAGGACCTTCCGTGGATGGTTGTTGCTTCCAACCACTTGGAAAAAACCTGATTTTCGGAAGGCAATAGTTGTGCTCCAGTGCAGAGGCAGGACAGGCCCTGGGGAGCTGCAGAAACGAGGACAGCTGGGATCTTTTGGGGTTTTCCAGCAGCATGTTACGTGTCCACTAACGCCCGATACGCTCAATATGGACTAAATCCATATATCCTGCATTAAATATTACAGGTATATTTATTTCCTGTTATACCCCTTTTTATTTAATCTCTCTAGAACATGACGTTTGTATTCCAAGGTCGGCTCCTGCATGGAATTTTTTAGCAGCAACAAGCAGGTGAAACTCCCGTCTTTCCTCTCGGAGACCGAATTTTGGGAGCTGTTCTGGGACGCAGCCAAGGGGAGAGGGTTTTGTACAATTACTGTGAAGATGCTTCACATTTCTGTAAAGATAAATGAAAATAAAAGAGCTGCATGCAGCAACAGGACAGACTGCTGTTGGATTTTTTTTTTCTTTTTTTTTTTTTTTCCTGGGAGCAAACATTAGTTTTAAAATTCAGGGCAAAACGTGGCTTTAAATGAGCCTCAAATCAGCTCCTCCAAGCCTGGAACGCACCAAAACTTTATTTTTTAGCCTCAGCTTTTAAAACTCTTCGTGCCTGGATGCACAGAGGGCATCTTAGATTGCCCAGTGTGGTACAGCAGCAGTTAAACATCATTTAATTCATTTATTTAATCCTGATTTTCTGTGATTTAATAAATGAATTAAATTTTGTGGGTATTTAACTAAGGGTTTTTTGTTTTTTTTTTTACTGATGTTGTTCTTCTACCTCCCAACACTCAGAATTCTATTTTTCACTGACTCCACAGTTTCCATTATTTCCAGAAAAAAAAAAACCCACAAACATTTTTAGAACATGCTCCACCCCTACCCAGAGATTTTAACCTGGAGATCAAATGCAGATAAGCAGAGAGTGGTTTTATTAAACATTTTAAGCAAATACTGCAAAAATCTATTTATTTAAAATCATACAGAAGGGCACAAACAATATCCCTTAACCAGGGGAGAGAATTCTGGGATTAACAGATGAGTGAGAAAGCTGGAAGTGAATCTACCCAAGGCAAGCAGGGAGAAATCCCTGTTAAATGACTTTTTAATTGTCAGCTTTAAACAGGACAAACCTGGACATGGAGAACAAATTCCTCTCAGTTTCCCAGGACAATTACTGCACCCCAAATCAGGTAATTTTAGCACCACAGACAGCAACTCTTACTGCATAAAACCCCATTCCAGGCTGCAGAACAGGATTTAATATAATGTACAAAGGGGCCTTCCGAGCCTCTCAGCAGTGGGTTCTTCGTCTTGCTGCATCTTTTCCTCTTGCTTCCCCTTCCACAGCAACAGACTCAGTAAAAGAAGAGGAAACAACACTGGAAAATGAAAAAAAATCCATTTAAAACTCTGCCCCAGCTGGGAAAAAAATTAAGCTTCTAACACTGGAAACTTCTTGTGTAAGAGAAAAATATTACTAAAATTACATCAGTAAAATATTACTAAAATATACATTAAAAATCGTGGTGCTGATGGGGCTGGGAAATAAAAAGGAAAGCAAATCAGGGAAGGATTTTTTTTTTTATTATTTTGCTGTAAATTCGGGGTTTTTGAGTTATTCCCTGGAAGACAAAGAGCAGGAAGAAATGGGGATTTTCTCTGCCAAGGTTTCCACGTGAAGCCAAGGTAATTCTGGGAGATTTGGTTGCTTCAACCCCTTCTTCCCAGTGCCTCATCTGAACAGGAACAAATGCTGTATATTGAATTTTTAATCATCCCTTTTAATCAGTTTAAGACACTTCCCCAGAGGTTTGGTTTGTGTTTTTTTTCTCCCCCTCCTAAAATAAATATGTTCTTTCTGAACGAGTTCAGAGCAATGGAGCAAAAAAACTCTTGACAGGATTTGAAGACCAAGATGAAAGTAAATTTATATTTGGCACAGATAAGGAAATAAATTCAGCCCGTAATTTTTACAAGAGGAATGTGCCCATGGTGAGCACTCAGAGGGAAGGAAAGGGCATAAAATGAGTCTTTCCATTTCTTGGAATTTATCTTTATGCCATCCAGGCTGTGTTTTACATAATTCAATTATATTTAAGATCATTTCAGGGACTGAATTGTATTTCTGTCACTTATTCTCTCCAAATATTGAGGAACTCTCTGTCTGGGGACAAGAACAGCTGATTGTGAGATTTGGGATCATTTATGAACTGGAAAAAAAAAAAAATCAAACGCACCCCAAAAAGCAGCATTTAAGAATTAAATTAAGAAATTTAATTAAGAAATTAAGAAATCTTTTCACTTAATTTGACCTCCACCCAAGAAGGGACATTCCTGGAGGAATCTTCCCATCCCTGTAGGAATCTCCCCATCCAAGGTTTTTAAATTTGGTTTCTTTTTCCCAGGAGAGTTGAACTTATCACTTGGAAGAGCAAAAAATGCACCTTTTCACACTCTCACTGGAAACTGGAAATCTTCAAACTCCCCAAAAACCAGAACGAGCCTCAAAGCACCTGCAAGAGAAAGCTCAGAACCCTCAGGGAAATATTTTCTTTTTTTTTTTATATTTTTATATTGACAATGTTGCCAAACAAAATAAAAGAAAAAAATATTTATTTTTTTTTTATACTACACAATAAGAGAAGTCCAGTGTCAGAGCAGTGATCTCAAATTAATTGGGGAATATATTTATTTTCACAGTGTGAAAGTTCCTCCTGTAATTCTGGTGTGTTTGTCCTGATGATTTGTGGGAGATTTATGTGTTTTTTATCAAAAAAATCAGTTAAATTCACCTTTTTCTTAGTTCCTGAAGCACGTGAGAGAGGTGGATTAATCAAAAATAAACTTCATGCTGTGCCCTCTCACAGTGGACAGTCTCTCATGATACAACTTTGGCTGCTGCAAAAAGCTAAATTCATCCCTGGAAATTTTAAATATCTCATCATATAAATGTAACAACAAAATAATTACAGAGGTGAGAGTAAATAATTTTTTTTTCTCCTGTTTTTAATACTCAGGTTTCGTATATATAATTAACCAACAGAACATCTGCTTAGCTTGAGGACAGGAATTCCAATTTTTTGGCTTTAATGATTTATTTTAGACATCTGAAAATACACCTGAGTGGACCACGGGAATATCCCCATTTCCAACTGGCCTGGAGAAGGTTCTGTAAAAGTTTTCACTTACCAGAAGCACAGAAAAACACCCAAAATCCTTCAGAGGTTTCTTCAGTTCTGCAGCAAAAAAATGGTATAAAAATCTCTCCAAAATCTTCTTTCTGGAGTGATGTCCTTCATCCAAAGGCTGAATTTGCAGATTTGGCAGATCCTGAGCCCCAAAATCATACCCTGGGACTCACCCCCTGCATCCCCCTCACCTGCTTACAATTAATTCCATTTGAACCCCTAATTAACTGCAAACCAGTTAACAAAGCTAATAAAATAAATAAGGCTAATAAAGTTAATAAAATAATAACAATCCACATCCCTAAGGAGTGGTGCATTCCAGGTGTGGTCAGCAGGTACCAAATTCCAGGACAGTCCAGAGGGAAGATGACACGTCTTGTTTAAGGAATAAATTAAATAAAATATTTAATTGGGGGGGGGGTGTTGGGGTGTTCTGACACTGCCCCAGTGATCAGTTCTGAAGGTTTGTTGGAGGGAAAAAGCAAATGAAAAGGCAAATTTAAGTCCTGAGAGCTCATTCGTGTTATTTTTAATTTAAATTACAGCTTTAAACAGGTTGTAGGAAGTGAAAACTCCAGATTTCTACACTCAACTCCCCAGTGCAGTGAGGACAAAAATCAGATTTATTTTCTTTGCACACTCAACCTTTCCAGCAGCCCCAGTGTAGCTTTATTAAGGTGTTAAAAATAAGGCAATATTTTCCAAATTAAGATTATTCTTGAACTCTTCCTCCAGCAGAGCAGGATGAAAATGAGACAAGGACACGTCAACTACAAACACAAAGAGCACGTGGGACACACAGACTGATGGATGAGAACTTGAGAAAAAGAAATTGCACTTAAAAGCACTTTAAAGATGTACATTCTTGTCTTTGTTATGTGGGAGAAACTAATAAAAAAAAATCAAAGGTCAGAGGCAGAGCTCCCACTTTCTGCTCCTCCAGGAAGCACAACCAGAACCTCTGTGAGCAGCTGGAAGCTGCTTTTTTATCCAGAGGGAACAACCCCTGGCTCCAACTAATCCTGGGGAAAACCAAGCTCAACAAACAGCTTAAGCTGCAAGTCACCAAATTAATTCTATTTATCTACAGCTGATAATTCTGTTTCTCCAGGGAGGGAACAGGTAATTCCCACCCATGTCACTGTCAGGGTATTTTATTTACACTCTGCTCTCCAGTGGCTCTGGAAGGACAAAATCCCGTGTTCTCAGCAGTGACATCAGCAAATCATCACAATTCTCCCCTGAGTTACTGGGGCACAGATCACCTCGTTATTCCTACACGTGGTTTTTGCAGTCATTAAAAGTGAGGGATTGAGTATGATGTCACTGAAGCCACAGTCAGAAATCCTCTGCCTTCAGAATTCCATAAAATCAACCCCCAAATCAGCACTAACAAAGCTCTGGAGTCACAGTCCTACAACCACGTTTTCCCCTGAGCTGACACCCAGCAGTGAACACACCCTCAAGTTGAGAATTTGGAATTTTCCAAAAACTTTCTGTAAGAAAATTCATCATTCTCCCTTCCACAAAACACTGTTTGCCTTTGCCTCCACATTCCCTGCACATTCACCCACAAATTCTATCCTGTTCTTACAAGCTCCTTTCTCTCTCCCTGTGTTCAGACTAATACACTTTATTCCTTGCCAAGGTATTTCAGATTAAAGTTGTTTTTTTTTTTGATAAGTAAATTAAAACTCAAGATTAAATTGAGTCACTTAGAAAATCACCAAAATTCTGCCACTGACTACACAGATCAAACACCAGCAGCCAAATTCAAGAGTCTGAAGATTGATGAAATAAATCCTTACGAGGAAATAAACCCCTAAACTACTTCCCAGTTTTCTGAAAGCCTTTTTTTTGTTCCAGTTCTTGCACACTGCAAGCAGGGTCAGGAGAAATAAGCTCTGGTCATGAAGTTATTAAAGCTCCAAAGTTATTAAAGCTCCTCCCAGGTGAAGCTTTACTGAACAGAACAGCACATCTTTAAAGCATTATTAGTTCTCTGAGGGGATGAAGTGCCACACCAACAAAAGTACACATGAAATAAAAAGGGAAATCAGTTAATGATTTTTATTAAATTTCAGTGTTTCATAAAATAAATATGGTTTATAATATCAAACAGTGAGAAATAAAGCACAAGCATGGAAAGCATGGTAACAAAAGTTACACTCATGACGGTGTTTAATACTCAGCACTTTAGAAACCATAAAGCCTTTGAATTATTTACAAGCAGCAAACTATCCAACATCATT